GTAGCTGATTAGGTTTTCCTTTTTGTTTTGTTTATTTTGTTTTTCACAGATTTGTGTGCACGATTCAAAAATTTGTAAATCAAGTTTGGTAGATCCAAATGTTATGGTTCCAATTTTTTTGAGTTCCTGGTAATGTCTAGTATTTAATAAAAATATTATATGAGCACAGGTTTTAGAAATTTTGGATGAATTAAATAGGACTTTGAAATGTGTTTTTAGATGCATGCAAAGTTGTTGAAATTTTATCTTAAGTTTCTGTGGTCCAAAAATTATGAAATTTTGTGGGTATGCTAGTATTGCTTAGTAGAAGCTTTGGTTAAAATTTCAGAGCTAGTGCATGTGTGGTTTTTGAGTTATAGATTTTCCTTTTATCATTGATTAATACTTGTGTGAATTTTCATAATTTTTCTATAGATCCAGTAAAGGTAAAATTTGGTGAGTGCTATTCTTATGATCGAGTGATACTAGGAAAAATGAGAAATCTGTTGCTTGACACTTTTAACTAAGATTTCCTATTTATGCCTTTTTAAGCACTTGTGCCTTGTCATTTTTGTGTAGACTATTTTACTTATCCAAGTGCCATGAAAATTTTATGGTAATCTACTTAGAGTAGTACTATGCTACTGTAGTTTTCTTAGATTTTTATAAGCACCAAAAATATAGGTTGCTGCTGTAGCCCTAGTTTAAAATGAAATAAAATAATCCTCTTAAATGCAAGTTAGTTAATAATGTTCGCTTTGGTGTATCTTTGAAGCATTTAATAAGATGTGTTGACTTAACATATTAGTAGTAGAAGAGAATGCAGTAGATGACATGTGCTTGTAGTATATTTTCTTGGATGATGTTGACTACCTTGCATTCAAACATATTCATTGTATTCATCTCATCCGATGCACCGATTGCATAAGCACTTACGCACATTGCATCATACTGGGATCGCAAACCGAGAACCCAATCGTCATACCCGAGGAGCCGAGGAGCGAGCAGAATCAGGTGCAAATACAGAAGTGCCGAGAAGCCGACGAGGAGGACCTTGAGGAACTTCCAGAGTGCCCCTGATCACCGTCCAGAGCTCCTTTTCGAGAGAGGCAAGCCGGAGCATTTTTCTCTGGTTTGCAATTATTTAATTAAATGATTTACTTTAATTGATGCATTACGTTCAGGAGTTGTTTGTAACCATTGCTGCATTATACCTTGTCTACCTTTGTTATACTATATCCTTGTTACCCGGGTATCCGTAGTCGAGTCAATGCTTAGCTGGCTTAGACCGGTAGAAGTCGGGTGATTCCCTGTCACCTGCGAGCTATAGGGGTTACCTGGATCTGCTTGGATGACTATGAAGTCATGGTATAACTAAGTGTTAAATGAAGTTGAGATCGGACGGACACTTGCAGAGTTTTGGACTATAGTGTTTCCGTCTGTGTCGATTAAGGACCGACCGTTGTTGGGCCTCGAGTCATGTTGAACGCATGCCTTACATTTAACTGGCCAGATAAAGTACCTTCCGACCACGAAGCTGGGAGATTTTTTCGAGTCGAGTAGATTGCCCATGAAGCCTTTGTCTTGGGAGCAGTGTGTGTGGTAGGACACGGGCGAGATGATAAGACCAAAGTGCGATCGGTTGGGCCCCGGTACATGTGGTTCTGGCAAACTCGAGATACACGGAAAGTTGACTTCGGTGATCAATATCTCACTTTAGCGGGTGAGTGAGGTTTGTGTAAGGAAGAAATCACCAGCTGGTTAGGAATCGATTCGAATCGCCATCGCTCCTGGATAGTGAGCACTTGACTTGAGTGACTTCATCGTAGTAAATGTTATGGAACACTTGGACAGTTATAATGAATATGACAGTATGGAAGTTGTTTAATGATCATTGGTTATCATTATCTGCTTAATCACATGTTTACTCTAGTGTACGTGCAAATCTAGTCGACAGGTTAATAATAATTAACTTGCCAATAATGTTTTTAGAAAGGTTCTTGAAATGCTAAAAATGCTTCTTTTTGCAAATGAATCATCTACCCTACTATAAAGCCCTTCATAATCCTTGGTGTCACTTATTTTCGGTTATGTCGGGTAAGTCTATTTGAGTACCTTCTCATTCGTGGGTTTTATTCCCACTTGTTGCGAGATGGGCGGATGTATTACTGGCTATGTATCAACCCACTGTTTCCTGCGATGGGTGATGCTTAGGACCATGGGCATGGTCATTCCTTACGCCTCGTCGATGCTTTTCTGCGGAGATGATCATTCGGCAGGCACTATATTTGAACTCCAGCGTGAGTGTGTGTGTGGTTTGAACAAATGGCTTCGCTACTTTTTATTCGAATCTGGTTTTGTAATAACTATGTTGAAACTCGATGTATCCGAGATTACGAACTTTTATGTAATATGTGATGGTGACCGCTAAACTTATTACGATCTTGGTCTGAATGGAAGTTGGTTTGAAATCCTTCGTGATTTCACGGACTACCGGGTTATCACGGGCTTAAGTTTGCTAAATCGTCTGCTCTGGCGGATGATTTTCTTACTTAATTTCGTATAATTGGTCGGTTCTGTTACAGGCAACTTGGGAGTATGTGTCCTATTATAATTGTTCAAGGATGGGAGATAAGGGATGTTTGAGACTGCTCAACTCTACGTTTTTTAGCATAAGAAAGGTAGAGTTGTGAGAGCACCTAAAGGGGTGCTCCATAAACTCTAGATTTTTTTGTGGAGCTGCCCCACGATAAAGTTTGTAGAGCAAAGTCTGTGGATCAATTCCAAACACCCCTAATTCTCTAATTAACTTTGGAGAGCAACTCCTAGGTTTGTCTTAGTGGATGCATGGCAATGGCTGCATTGTTGTCGTTTCCTAGTTCAAGGTATTGTCTAGAGATTGAAAAACTTGTTAAGTGTGAAAACCTTTGGTCTAGCTTTCACTAGTTGGATCATGGCAACGGCGGCGTGTGTGTTTATCATTCCCTTTTTGGGGTGTTGCTCTTGGAGGACCTTAGTTGCGGGTAGCTGATGAAGCTTAAGTTAATTTTGTGTACTGTTGCTCGTTGTGGTTTGATAGATGCCACGTCACTATTTTCTCTTTTGTAATAATTATAGGCTATATAATTTTTCTAAGGTGAGAAGTACAGTACGTGATTACTATGCTGCAAAAACTTTATAATTTTTTTAAGCATCTTAACAATCTCAAATGAAAAAAAACTCAATACCAGAAGGTTATCTAATCGAGGGCTATAATTTTTGTATACAAAGTATCTTTATCCAATAACATACAAGAAAGATAAGATTTTTCTAAAGTGAATTTCGATGCACGATTAATATCCTGCTAAAACCTTATAATTTATTTTTGAGCATCTTAACATTCTCAATTGAAAAAACTTAAAACTAGAAAGTTACAGATCTCATTGAGGGCTATAATTTTTCATATAAAGATCATTTTCAGCCAATGTCGTATGAAAAGGATATGATTTTTCTAAGATTAAGTTGCCGCTGACATGTGGGTCCATTTGTCAGCATGCCACGTCAGCTACCGTATCGGGTAAACATCCGTTTAGACCTGGATGAGACCTGAACTAACTTTAGTGCCCCAAAAATGTGTTTTGAGACTTTGGGACCTATATGACACCTACGGACAACTTCAGGGACCTAGGGTGGATTTCACTCAATAGAGAACACAAACATAGTATACAAAGTTATGTGCAAATTGTTATTGTTAATTTGTTTTGATGTTCTTGACCGTTCCTTAAAAGCTGTCTCATTTTCTTAATTACTACTTTTTCACATAATATGCACTTTGTTCTCTAAACATGAACTTAACATAGCTCACCCTTGAGTTTGTTGCAGGGGATGTGCCGACATTTCTATTCACTTTACCATCATTATTACAATTGGATCTTTCATCGAATCAACTTTCTGGACCCATACAAGAGTTTCATACACTATCTTCACGCATGGAAATTGTTAGTTTAAGTGATAATAAAGTCAGCGGAAATATTCCTTCATCACTCTTCCACCTCATAAATTTGGTTGTTTTGGATCTTAGCTCAAACAACCTGACTGGTTTGGTAGACCTTGACTCTTTTTGGCAACTAAGAAAGCTCTTTCAGTTGAGTCTATCCGACAACAATCTGTATATCAAGGAGGGAAAAGGAAGTAACTCCACATTCCGTTTATTGCCAAAACTCTCTGGATTAGATCTGAAGTCATGTGGCTTGACCAAAATTCCTAGTTTCTTGGTACACCTTGATTATATCACTACACTGGACCTTTCCTGCAACAAGATACTTGGGACTATTCCAAATTGGATATGGCAGAGATGGGACCATAGCCTTATGGTTTTGAATCTTTCGAACAACGCATTCAAAGATTTGCAACTCACTTCATATGTTCTCCCTAACAGTCATTTGGAATCTCTTGATTTGGGTTCCAACAGAATCCAAGGTCAGATCCCAATCCCAAACATGTTGACAAAAGATAGCTATTCAAAACAAGTCTTGGATTATTCAAATAACAGATTCACATCTGTTATGTTAAACTTCACTTTGTATCTTAGCCAAACTGTGTATCTCAAGATGTCCAACAATAACATAACATGCTATATACCACCCTCAGTTTGCAATTTAACTTATCTTAAAGTCCTTGACCTGGCAAATAACAACTTCAGAGGGCAGGTTCCATCTTGCCTGATAGAAGATGGCAACTTAAGCATATTAAATTTGAGGGGGAATCACTTCGAAGGAGAGTTGCCTTATAATATTAATAGCCAATGTGATCTGCAGACAATAGATATAAATGGAAACAACATTCAAGGACAGTTGCCTAGGGCTCTTTCTAAATGCACTGATTTGGAGGTTCTTGACGTTGGAAACAATAAAATTGTAGATGTTTTCCCATCTTGGCTTGGCAACCTTTTCCAATCTTCATGTCCTTGTATTAAGATCCAATCAATTCTATGGCACACTAGATGACCCTTTCATAAGTGGAAACTTCCGGGGTACTTCTCGATGATACAAATAATTGATATTGCCTCAAACAATTTCTCTGGCAATGTGAAACCACAATGGTTCAAGAGGTTTAAATCTATGATGGAGAAGATGAATAACACTGGACAGATCCTAGGTCATTCTGCATCCAAATATTACCAAGATACTGTTGCAATAACAGTTAAGGGGCGAGACATCACATTTGAAAGGATATTGACAACCTTAACTTCAGTCGACTTTTCAAATAATAAACTCAATGGTACCATTCTAGATTTGGTCGGAAACCTTGTTTCACTACATATATTGAATATGTCACACAACGCCTTCACAGGAAATATTCCAACCCAATTAGGCAAGATGAGCCAGCTGGAATCACTAGACCTGTCATGGAACCACCTTTCTGGGGAGATACCGCAAGAACTAGCAAACCTCACATTTCTTGAAACCCTGGATTTGTCTAACAACAATTTGGAAGGTAGGATTCCACAATCACGCCAATTTGGAATGTTTGAGAACAGTTCATTTGAAGGTAACATAGGCCTTTGTGGAGCACCCTTGAGCAGACAATGTGCCAGTTCACCTCAGTCAAATGAGTTGAAACCCAAAATGCCACAAGATCATGTCGATATAACTCTATTTATGTTTGTTGGATTGGGATTCGGACTTGGATTTGCAGTTGCTATTCTTGTCATACAGGTTCCACTTGGCAAATTCTATAGAACTATAAGCATTTTGCAAAGCTGATCCTAAGTCCCAAGGGACCTATACACGCACAATTCGCATGTATGCATTACTGGAAAGGAGAATGACACTTAGATGGATGATGTGATTATTCATCTCTATATTCTATTGATACTTCTAAAGTATATCATGCTTATGCTAGTATGCTACTTGTAAGAGCATTTTTTTAAAAGATACAAGTGCATTTTGTTCTGGTATATATTAATTAATAAGAAGTGAATTGATCCAATTTATGGGAGAAACTGAGCCCAGAAGCCATACAACCACTACTTACAAAACTACACCATGCAGCAGCACCTCCAACTACTAACCTGTGATGGAGTTCGTCGCGACTACTATCATTGCCAAGCTTACCACTAGAAAGTAGCTTCGGCATCAAACAACGGACCTCAGCAAATAATGTCTCAAGCTATGAGACAAAGACTCATCAAAGCACCAAGTTGCCACCCAAGTCCAAAAATGGCTAGAAAAGACGAAGTATATCGCCAAGGTTCTCCTTGCTGACCACTATCACAACCAAACGAGGCACCAAACATGACACAAGATTCTCACGGCAATGCCTTCAAGAAGGTCATGATGCTAACAACATCGTCATCGTTGGCCCAAAAATATGTACAGTTTTCACCCAAAGAAAACTAGTAGGGTAGGATGGAGTGGATGCATCCGAGGAAAGCAACGCCCACAAACATCATCGTCTAGTACTTCTCCCTAACCTCAACCATCCTACCTCTATCTGCCACGATAGCACACCCGACATCACAGCAAGAGCAACACATGGAGGCAATAGAGAATCCAAAGGAGACAGTGGAGTTGACGTGCATCTGGCCGAGTTGAAAAAACTCCACCGCCGTCAAAAACTAGCACCCATCACTCCCTTGCGATGTCCCTATTGAGTGTCAAATAGGGGTAGATTAAATCCGCAAATTAACGCCATAACAATCCGATTAACCCCCTGACTGATTGTCCAAATTAGCCAGGGGCTCGGGGAGGCTACACCCATCGGGTGCGCTCACGCGCACCCTCTGGCCAATCGGTAGATGGCCCAGCAGGCCATAGGGGCCCCACTTTAGAAGAAGCCCCCCCCCCACCAAAGGGATAAGCCAAGAAGTCAAGTCCCCGCTAGGGTTGCCGTTGCCCCGGGGCTCGGCGGCTTGGCCATGCTAAAGTGGCTCCCGACCTGGGGGGCCTGCCAAAGCAAGTGTCGCCATATTCGTCCTGGCCTTGGCTTGGGCCAGGCTCCAACCCCGATCAACATCGAGAATATGCCCTGAAATCTATCAGGCATCCGGAACCTGACAGGCGAGTAGAACAGCAGGGTGTCATGCCCTACTGAGGGCCTGTTTTCTCCACCCCCGCGAGGCTGTGTCAGCCACTTCTGGCCTAGGGTCACGCCGGGGACATGACATGTCACGACAAGGACTCTCCGCGTACATGCAGTCTAGAGGACTTTAGAATCCTAGTGTAGAAGAGGAATCCTGGTATACGAAGGGAGCAGCGAGAAGGTGAATTCTAGGAAGGCACAACGGCAGCAGACAACATCTGAGGGTCAGCTCTAGGTAGCGGTAGAAGATGTCAGGGGGTAGTTGGAACATTGTCGGCCCCTGCTACAAGACAAAGGAGGCCGTACAATGCCGCCAAAGAGAACCGAAGCCTAGGACAAGAGACCCTAGGAAAACCCCACAACCATGTAACTCCGATCGCCCTCTGCTATATAAAGCGGGGAATGGGCTCCTATAGAAAGGATCGAACTCTAGATTAGCAAACCAAAAACACTCTAGACTGGATCCGAGACCTACGAGTCGAGACACTTAGCCTTGGGTCGACTCTTCGCCCGAGCCACCAAAACCCTAGAATAGTAGCATAACGCTCCTCGACATCTCTCTCTTTCTCTCAATTCTAAGAACTCGATTGAGCACTCGTAACATGAAGAACACCATTGCTGGATGTAGGGCTTAGACACTAGAACCAGGATAAATCCCTTGTGTTTTGAGTGCTTAAGCCACCGAAGACTCACGCATTGACCCACATCGAACGACCTGATTACTGCCGGTAGGGGAGTGTCATGTGTGATTGCTGCTCTTCGATGGTCTAGGCTACCATCCTCGCCGCTGGAGCCGGAGGCGCTGCCCCCGAGGGCGGCGTGCGCTTCTCCGATGGGATCATCTCCACCGGTAGCGCCCTCACCCCTAGCTAGGCTCTCTGCTTTGGGAGTTTGGACTACGTCGCTGATCACAGTGGCGAGCTTCACCTCTACGATGAGGCGTCGGAGGACAACGAGTCCATGGCGATGTACCCTCCAATTGGGCTCCTGCACGCCGATTTCAAGATACTCTCTACAGATCTACCTCAGTTTCCAGTTTAGGCCCAAACCCCACCGTGGTGGAGCACCGCCGGATGTTCTATACACTGACCAATGTCCACCACCAGTTCGTTGTAACACCTCGCATCCAAAATTGCTTATATGGCCCAGCTCTGCACGTGGAACGGGCCTACATACGCTGTAATACATCTCTTATATTTTCGTCATCGCTTCGTGTAAAATGGTTAACTCAGAGGTGCTACGTTTAGAACAACAAGAATTATAAGCTGACCCTCACTATCCTAAACTTCTAAGGTGGTACTAAACCCACCGACCACAATTACACATGTGCCACTTGGGCCACATGAGCCAACTTTACTATAGGCTACTAAATGGCTGTGGTGTTACATTGTCACGAGGAGGGGCTGCCCTGGTCCTGTGTTTTTGGTCCGCCTTTCCTGATCTCCCGTAAAGGATCTGAAACACAGCAGCTATGTTCCCGCTCGAACAGGAGCAGCTCACCAGCAGGGAGACGTCGTGCGGTGCTGTCCTCTCGAGCACCGCCAGACCGACGCCCCTTCGCTGCTTCTCTATATTCGTCCATCCCAAAAGGGTCAAAACACTACATGGATAGTCCGTATTTGAACCCAAACATTTAGTGTCTGACCATATTCAAATATGAATATTCAAAATCAGATTTCTGATATGTATATTAAATAGATATCAATATCCAAATAATCCGTATCCAGTTCTGAGATCTGAGAAAAAATATAGGATATAATACGGTATATAGGACATAATGCAGGATCAATGGTATCCGTCTGTCATCCCTACCTTGCTTACCTTCCTTGAGATACTCTCGGGGGCTGCCTCGGAGTACGGCTCTGACGAAGCAGAAAGTTTCCACCTGGCACGCGAGTGCTACTGCATCCACGGAGAGCTTCCACCCGCCGACGAGCCCGAAGATATGCCTCCAGACCTAACTCTGACCTAGCAGTCCGCCTAACAACGAGAGAAGGTAGAGCGGCTCACGGGCTGACAGGCTAACCTAGAGGCCGAACACATCGAGCTCAAGTTGAAGCGGGAGGAGATGGAGTGCCGGCAAGCCAGCAGCGCACACACCCGTGCGCGCGCGCAGCGTCCAGCAGGACATCAACAATGACGCGAGGGCTCCATGCCCGCCTCGCTTCCCTCACACGGTGTACAACATGGCGGTCGCTGCCTGCCATCTGCACGACATCCCGGACACGTCGGACCCAGAGACCAATGGGAAGCTCCGCGAGCCTCGGCACTTCCTGAACATCGCCCTCAAAAAACAGGCCGCAACGCCACTAACTCAATGCTGTCATAGCATGTGCCGTCTTCGGAAGGAGAGCGCTGCGAAGCCCAAGCCCTGCATGGCGGTGGCAGCAACTGTGACAGCTCCACTAACGACTACGACTGGTCGAGGCCGAGGGGGGCCAAGCCCCACCGCGAGCGACGAGGCGAGCTTGACCCACGTCGGCCGCCCATGCGTGACCGGATCGGAGAGTACTGGGACGTGCGGGACACCATCGAGGCGAGGCGACGAGCTCGAGCTAACTCGCCGTCCCCGTGCCCTGACCAACGAGAAGGAAGCCTGAGCCAGGACCACTTCGGTATGTAGGCATTCGGGTGTAGGATACGGACAGCTCGCTACCCCAAGCGCTGAGGACTACCATCTTGGGATGAGGGCCAAAGGGGCAGACGACGACTTCGTGGTCCAGTACCTCCCTCTACTCCTATCATGCTCAGCGAGGGCATGGCTCGAGCAGCTGCACCGCAATTAGGCCAACCTCCGGTCAACCTTCGTAGGGCACTTTCAAAGTCATACACCCGCCCTGAAAACTCATGGGAGCTGCGCACCTACAGGTAGAAGCAGGACGAGGTGACCCTCCGAGAGTACATCTAGCGCTTCTCTCGCAAGCGCAACGAGTTGTCCAACGTCATCGACACTGACATCATCAACGCCTTCACTTGCGACACCACGTGTGAGGCACTCGTTCACACGCTCGGGCGCGTGGCCCGGCGAATGACGCGGGAGCTCTTGGACATCACCATTCAGTATGCCATGGGCGAGGATGCCATTCTGGTAAACTTCGACAGCAAGGGCAAAGCCACCGCACCCCGCGTGAAGAAGATAGTGATGATGACGCCAACACATCGAACCGTTGCTGAGACAAGAAGGCTGCCTCTATAACCTGGCTTTTGTCATTGTTTACTACATGCGATTTTTATAACTTCCATATACAATTCTGACTTTTGTACATACCACAATAAAATTCATTATGTATTTATGTTTTACCAAATGTCAAATAGATATATACAACACTACAAATTTCTGTGGCAACGTGCGAGGTATCATCTAGTTTATTCGTGTGATCTTCAACTACAAAATTTAGCATTAGTGCCATCTATCTTTCTAGATGGCTTAAGACATTCGGAGTGGGGGTTACTGTGTCAGAATTTATGAAAGCAGATGTAATTCTTCATTCAATGATATCTTCAAACTTGAGCAGGGGTTGCCTCTAATGCCTCTTTACCTGTGGTGCCTTCTTTGAGTTCTTTGAAATATACTTCATAGTCCTTTTCAGACGGGGGATTTGAAGGGTCAATCACATATGGTTCGCTAAATGGAACAGTGCTCTTGACCTGATCATAAGAATTACCACCATTAGCTTTGTCTCTAAGATAATTGACAATAAGTTCTGCCCTAATATTCTTGCAAATAAGTGTTACAGAATTCAACCTCGAAAGTTTTGCCCACTGCATTTGGGCTTGCCAGAGCTGCTACACAAATACGGGCAACTTCTTCCCTTGATATCTTTCCCTAAGATGTTTCAAGAATGTTATTAAATCAATTTGGAGAAGAAAGAGCACATTGGGAATTCGGATATGAGGATGAATGTGCTTCCTATACATACTGTGATGTTGTCCCCCCTGGTCAAAGATGAGATCGGCTCCAGCTGGTTCCTCAGTTAATGCACATGGCCGTACAATAGTGTACGGAATACTACTTTCCCGAATTAAATCCTCTCCCTGAAAGGCCACCTCAGACGTTATATAAGGGTTCCAAGATAACTAATATGATAAAATGAGCAGCACAGTTGCTCACTCTATATCTTAAGTACTTAGATGCATATGGATGGTTTATTTGTAGTACAAAACAAATGTACAATTGTGATTTGTTATGTCAGGAGAATAAAAAAAAACATTCATCTTTAGTAAGAACGAAAGACAGTTTTTTTATATATAAAGATGTGTTTAAGACAGTGAGCATGCCTTCAACTTATAAGTTAAAATGGAGCCAAGCTCTTTGTTCAATCGAACAGCAGGTGGCTGTTTGCTTAAATCTAGCCCCGGTCTTTCAGGTCTTGTAACTCCCGCAGAACTCACATGAACGAACCTTCATATAAAAGAAAAGCAAGGCCAGTTAGTCTTGATTGGTTCCAAAAAGAAACTGAAAAATGAAGTGGCTATATGTATTCTGCTGTACTGATGTCATTGCCTGAAAACTAGTAGATAGACAAACCTTGGAGTGATCGGCTCGTTTATGTATGCTCTAATACTTGAAAAAGGAAGCTCAAATGGACCTTCAGTAAATGTTGGGTTGAGTATTCCGTCATATTCAAATTTGCTAAACATAAGCTACAAAAATTGTCACATCAACTTTTAGATGAGAGTTTACCAATTCTTCAAATGTTTACTGATGAAGAAAAAAAGGAAGAAGTGATACTTGTAGTGAAGTAATGTTGCTTGCATCGAAGGGTGGAGCATCAGTCATAGTACGAGCACGGAATACAGGTTTCAGAGAAGAGAAAGGTACTTTAACCTGATCCAGGAATAAGAACACAGTTCTAAGTCGCTGAAACATATTATGAAGATATTTACAGCATGATATGACATACACTTTGCCATTCCCCCTTAGTTGTGTCAAAACTTGCTGTATAGCCAACAGTATCCCATTCATAGCTAGTCCGTATAATGAGTTTATACCGTCGTCCATCACCTTTAACTCGTAATTCAATACCATCATATGCTGACAGGTCCTCTGGCACAGTAAAATTCTGCCATTCAAGTAAAGTATCATACTGTTAGCAATGTAACATCAGTATAAATAGTATACACTGATAAATAAAAATATGTAATAGAGTTACTCCCTCAAGTTCTATAATTCTTGTCATTTTGAACTACGACAAGGTCTCCAAAGCATATCTTTGATGAAGATTTCCTATTATAATACTCCCTTCATTCCAAATTATAAGTCACTTTAGCTTTGTCCCAACTCAAACATCTCTAACTTTGATCATGTTTTTATTGAAAAATGCACCAGCATCTATGACTTCCAATTAGTTTCATTAAATTTTCCATGAAATAGGTCTTGATAGTGCATTTATTTGAACTAGATGTTAACATATTTATCTAAGAACTTGGTCAAAGTTAGAGAAGTTTGATTTAGGACAATCTGAATGGGAACTATAAGTTGGAATGGTTCGTATATACAAAAAATCAACAGACTAATCTATTCATGTTCTCTTAGCATCATCAAACTCAAAGTTATCAATAGCTAAAGTTTTAAAAGTTTAACCTCAATTTTGTCCAAAACTACAAGGATTATGGAACTGGAGGAAGTATAAGTTATTAGGTGTCTACAAAATTACACTTGCTTGTGACAGAAAAAACCAATTTCATTTATTTGCATGAAACAACGCAGTATATAGTTGATCATTGCAAATAACACAGCACACAAATAATAATTAAATGCCTAGTAGTAATTTTGTTCCTCAGAATTTCATGGAAGTAACTACCTTTGTCCTTATACTAGTAAACCCACCGTTATTTGAAGTAGATACAGTCCCTACAAGGAAGGTAGGTTATCCACAGGTTATCAGCTTAGAATACCATCATTTCAAGCAAATGGAACAATCTCATATCCAAAATTCTGTGAATAAAAATAAAAATACCTTTGAACAACCCAGTTGGTTCACTACTTTCACTTCCTGTTGGCAGGATTTGGAATGTACTTTCACTAACGCCACCCATTACAACGTCATCAAGAGCTCCCCACACAATCTTTCCAGATAAGTTGCCTACATAAAATGAGATTATTGTGCTAGCTTTTAAGGAAAATAAACTCATAAAAATGTAAATAAATACATTTACATGAAATAAAACAATCATTATTAGCGAATAAAATGGATTTATTTAATGTTAGAGTACATGTTAGAGATACAAAGGACCTGGCTGTTATGGTAGGATAGGATTAGTTACGATTGATTGGTTGTAATCTCCTGATTAGTTTCCATCTCACAATAAAGTTTTCATACCAAAAGGATGTACTAGTAATATGCTATGCAATAATAACCAAATGATCAATTATCAACTATATGGGAACAGGATTACATGATCCCAGGCCCAAATGCTTGTGGACACACTTGGGTTTTCAGCACACATAGTAGTGCCAGACTACATATATGAAAATAAGTATAACAAAGATTTTTAATTTGATCAGGAAAATAAGGCACTGAAAGGTATACCTTTGAGCCCAAATAGCAGTTTCCCTTCACTCAGTCCAACACTATTCTTTATGGCATTAATCAAGTTTTGCATTCCGATGTACTCAACCATTTCAGGTGAAGGTCCCTTGATCTGATTGGAGAAACATCTAATGTTGTGAACTTGGGGTCACATAGCAAGAGCTGTAATTTTTAGGAGAACCAGGTGCTACTTATTATACATGTGAAGACTTTCTGATACCCTACCTCAGGTTCGAAAAATTTGATGCCCTGCATGAATTCGAGACTGAAGTGTCACACTGATGTAGCCAGATAGTAGAGTGCATAAATTCTTCACATATCATAGTATTGAGCATATGACGTACTTGTTTGTACTTCTGCCTGTCTGGTGTATCACCTTCCTTTGGCCCCACTATGACAGAGACTGCATTGACTACCTTTTTTATCCCTTTGAAGAGCTTAGGATCAAGTGTATCTTCCTTTGTAACATCCCCTATGATCTGAAGCAAGCAGTAAGTTTGTAACTCTAAATATGGAGTTTTCATGACATGATTCTTTGAATGTGAGTATTTAACGTCATATAGATAATAGCATGAACCACAGGCACTGAGATAAGGAGCTAAATCATATTTCAGCCTGTCATTGCACATTCATTTGTTTTGTCCTTCAGATAAAATGTCAGAAATATCAAATATGTACCCAAATTTTAGTCCCCATATAATATCATCAAATTCCATAGTTATCCTTCCTACCAAGAGACAGGTTTCAAAACATGTAACAGCAGCATTTATGTCAGGCATGTAACTGTAGGCCAGCATTGAGCACTGCCAAAAATAATTCTTTGGGGGACCTTATTCCTCTTGGCAATAAAAGTGCCTTTATCTAAAGAAAAGGTATCGGGTAATGCCATTGGGATGCAAATCCTCCATAGCTATGACACTTGAAGAATTTGTTTGGTTGCTTTGAAGTAGGGCAGAAGTGCAGTTGCTGAAATAAAAATCCCATAGCACAGCAGTAGTAATTAAACTAAAATAAGTGGCCTACCAGATGTACATCCGGCCCCAACATGCTCCTTGCCTTGTCTCCATTTCTAGCCTGAACTCAAAAATGGAACAAATGTCATAAGGACTATAGGAATTGTTCATACAAAAAAATGGAAAAAAAATGTTAAAGGCCATAGTGAGCATGGTTGACAGTAGAGTACCAATACTCGAACAGGTATGCCCTTCTTCCGCAGGATGTCGACCACCCGTCGCCCAACACCACCAGTGGCTCCCGTAACCAGCACCACATCCAATGTGCCCATTTTCTTCGGCGCTTCACTAGAAGCAGGTCCAGTGAAACTGCTGATGATAGATTCTACAATCTGCGAATCGAAGCAAAAGCATCAAGACTTGGAGACATCATATCTCAAACTCAATTTGAATGTAACATGAAAGCAAACAGAAAACTCAGAAGTTAGTGATAGAACCTTGAGAGGGTTTGGAGGCCCGTTGAAGAAGTACAACGTCTTGAAAAACCTGCCGAGGTCCCAAGGTTGTTGCCCAGCAAAAGCTATTACCTCTCTCCGTGACAACCGTGATGACGCGCGGCTTACTGGGCTGTATGTGATCCGTGGAAACTGGTTTGAGCCTAGGAAAAGCACCTTCTGATCTGTTGTCGTGGAGCAGCTAGCAGCTAAACCCCCCTGATGACAGGGAACAAAACAAAAACAAAAATAAAAATTAGTGATTTCATTTCAACCTTTAGATATTATGACGTTGTGCTGATCAGCCTGATTTCAGCAAAATGGATGAGAAAAAATAGGTCCCACCGAGATTTGAACTCGGGTTACTGGATTCAGAGTCCAATGTCCTAACCGCTAGACCATGGGACCTTTGATGCCCACAGTCCCTAATAAAATTATAAAACGAATGGAACAAGGACCTAGGCTAAATCCCTAGCTGACCTCGGCCGGGTACCTAGCTCTCCGTCTACCGCGCTGTCAAAGAAGGGAAAACGATGATGCGGCGGTGGGGAGAAGGGGGCAGGAGCGCACTCACACGCGGCCTGGCGAGAAGCACCGGAGGAGACGGAACGGCGGCGGCGCAGCAAGAGGAGCAGTTCATCTTCTTCCCTCGCTGGAGAAGACGACGGCCGGACGGAAGGGTCTCTCACCACGCTACCATTATTGGGAGGACTGAGAAGCGGGACTGATGAGGAGGAACCGGCACGACGACGACGAAGCCACAACGGATGCCGCTGGAGCGTCGTGGAAGGGAGGCGCGGACCACACAAATTCCTGCGGTCTGCTGCGTGCACGTGGTGGTGCGCCCACGACCCACGACTCGCAAATCGTCCCAGTATATGACCTTGAGATTCGTGCAATGTGAACACCGGATTTTCGATGGCAAGTTTTTATCCTGCCGAGGATTACTAGGCGAAGCAAAGGTACCCAAAAAAAAAGTCGGTTAATCCAAGATTCAAATCTAAGTGGACAAAGTTTCACCGATGCTAGTATGTTGATTTGTCAGGTTTGATACCTGATCTCAACAAAAACTGATGAGAAAATTTTCGGTTTGGCACTAGAAAAACTTCCCCTTTATTTGACATCTAAACTTAAAATATTCTCTATTTATCACATCTTTCACTTTTTTCTCTATTTGACACTTCGGTCATGGAGCCTCTTATCCTGAGGCTTGCACGTTTAGTCTCCATTGATGTTGGCAATCGGTACTAAATGTACTTTTTTTTTCTTTTTCTTCCCTTTTTCTTTTATGGTTTCTTTACGCTACTAATATACGTCCATAAGCAAACAAAAACTTATAGTACTGCATTATATATATTTTTTTTGAAAAGCCATCAACAGGAGTATGTCGGCCGTATAATGATAGAGAAGGAGCCAAATACAATCAAAAAGAAAAAGAAAACCTCAAACACTCACGAAGGTGACAACGGAACCACCACCAATAAAAAACAACACCAACGAAACCACCAAAGCAACAACCCATTGGCAATCGGTACTAAATGTACAAGAAACAAGCTTAATTTTTTTCTGAGGGAGGGTTTTTTACGCTACTAATATCCTCCAATGAGCAAACAAAATCTTGTAGTGCCCTAATTATTTTTTTTTTTTTTTTGAAAAGATTTTCAACTCAAAGTCCTATAGGGGGCATATAATGACTACAATGCCTCCAAATACAATGAAAAAGCGTCACTGTTCCCTCAAACACTCACCTAAGGTGACGACGGCTTTCACCACCAATAACCCAAAACACCAAGAAACCAAAAGCAACGACCGACGAGACGCTCACCTATGGTACAAGAAACAAGCTTAATAGAGGCACCGAGGGAGGACAAGGTTTCATGGCCTAGTCCTCCAATGAGGGGACCGACACCCACAAGTGCCCTAAACACCACCGGAGAACCACCACTTGCTCAACTCAAATTCCATAGGGAGCCGCTAGTGCTGCTTGCAATATATACATAACAAAATGTATGAAACTATACATATATTTCAAAAGCTTGTACATGCATGGAACTATACACATAAGCTAACAAAAGCTTGTAGTACTGCATGTCCTTGGGATTACATTCAATTCTACTCTTCTTCACGGTTGGGATTCAATTGTCCATCATAGGGCCTGTTTGGTTACAGCAGTGTCTCCTAAAATTTCTGTCACATCGAATGTTTGGACACATGCATGGAGTATTAAATATAGACTAATTATGAAACTAATTGCACAACTTACGAAGCCACCATTTAGGAGACCAAATCTTTTAAGCCAAGGTAGTCCATGATTTGACAACGTGCTGCTTGCAATAAATATGTACTAATGATAGATTAATTATATATTTCAAAAAGCTTATAAATTAGCCTCCATCTATGTAATTGGTTTTATAAGCTAATCTATATTTAATGCCCCTTATTAGTATCTGTCATTCGATTGACATGAATTTTACTCTTCTTCACTAAAGATTCAATTGTCCATCATAGTAGAGCTCTCCATTGCGATCTAATACCTGGTTATTCAAAAATCCTGCAAATGACTCTTCAATTGCTTTGATCTGTTCATTTCGTATGACCTTTTGCTTCCTCCATTCACGCTTTGAATGAAAGAAAAAAACATGCATTTATACACAAACTTGATATGCAAAGGTAGGCATTGTTTATAGAGTGGAATTTACTAGTGGTTCTTGAACTTTGTCCAACGTTCCTATTCGAGAGCTACATTGTGCATAGAGCATACTTTAGTACACAACTACAATTGGTACCAAAATCCAAAAATCCTACTAGATCGAAATCCTAAAAATCCTTCGTTTACTCAAGCACCACACTAGATGATACAAAAAAATCAACCTAAACAACTAAATTTCCTAAAATGCGCAAACAATTAGGGCATCGAGGCACCCACCATGAGTATTGCTAACTCACTTTCCATCAAAACCCCAGGGCCATGCTTCACTATCGCACTGATTCTAGCCGATTCTGGCTTCGCCATCTCCAGCTGTGCACCTTAGCGACGTCGCTCAACTCCGACAAGACCCCCCATGCACTGTCCCCTTCCACCTAGCCCTCGCTCCTCGCCAACTCGCTTGCTCTGGGACAATACTTGTGTGTGAAATGGTAATAGGTAGACCTAAAAGTAATGTTTTGGAAGTATATAGACCTAAATAAGAATGTGGGGGTAAATTAATAACCGCAAAATGAATTTCACTCTTGCCTATAGTTTATATGTTGGCTTCAGAAAAGAACATTATAGTTATGTATCTCGATTCTACAATACATTTTTAGTGAAGCCCACTAAATTCAAACACTCTAAATTTAGAAAATATTCCCTCTGTCCTAAAAAAAGAGGTAATTTTAGGTTTTGGATTAGCCAAACTTTTCTAGTTGAACCAAGTTTATAGGAAAAATATCAATATTTATATCTCTAATTAGATTTATTATGAAAATATATTCCATAATGAGTATAATGGTACTCATTTGGTATTAAAATATTAATATCTTTTTGTATAAATTTGATTAAACTTAAAATCGTTTGATATCTCAAAAGTGAGAATTGTATTTTTTTAATTGGACGGGAGAGTAAAGTATGCCGTAAGAAAGCTCACTAGTGTCGTCTTGGATTTTAGGACCCCCATTATTGATGTTGCCATGTTGGGTCAGGAGTATCAGTGGCAAGTCGCTACAGCTGTGTGCGCCGACGCTTTGGTCACAAGCCACAGTCAAACCACGCTGCGCCGCCCGGCAGCCCCACCCAGCGCGCGGCTCTCGGCGGGGGGCGGCCGCGCTCTTGCATAGTTGCATGGCTTGGCACTAGCACTTCTGGTCTTCTGGCATGAGGCGGTCAGAAGGATCGCTCCATCTCTCCACCGGCGGTGGCAGGCAAGTCTGCGAGCTGTTCGACGATATGCGCAGCCAGGAACTATTGGGCCTTCTTCTCTGGCCACGGCGTGGTACACTCTCTGCACACGCATCCTCCCGGTTTCCCATCACATTGTTTCGGAGCCATGCCGTGGCTGTGGCTTCTTCTTGGTGGTAGTTGGCAGAGTGCGCCTGTATAAGCCAGGCCACCTTAGTTGCTTATGCTTTGCTAGGTACATGTTATCTGAAAACAATGGGGTGATCATATGTTCAGTGCCACAGAATGCACAAACATTAGTCGAATATGCGATTCTTATGACCAAATGGTATGCTTCTACATAACCAGCCAGAGTTCTGCATGCCTGCTTGTTTAGCTGCTATAGAATGCTACCTGCTATAACTCTAGTCGATAATGCTCCAAAACACAATTTCGAAAGTGTGCTCACTTCGTTATGATATTATTGAGGTTTCACACTTGGCATCCATGCAGCAGGCAGTTCTCTTAGTCTCATTTGCCAAAACGCTCCAAGCGTATAGGGTTCCTTAATTAAGCGACCAAATAGATTGTGACCTAAAGGAAAAAAAAATGTTACTGCTCATCTTTCCATGCTTTTCGAAGATTATTGATCAATAAACTTCATATTTTATTCATTCATACATTAACAAATAACAAAGTAAAAAACAAATTTACAAGGACACTACACACGATAGTTGCAACTAAATTGCAAAGGAACCCTTTCTCCCCTACTTTTGCTAAAACATATTATCTCGCAGACACTGGCACAGGGGACAAAGGGGATGAAGCATCAAAAATAATATCATCTCTGCCAGTTGCATCGTGACCTGCAGTACTTTCTGTGTCCATAGCACCTTCCAAGACCTTGACAACTTGTGACATGGCTGGTCGTTTACTGCAGTCACGCTGCAAACACCAGACAGCTAGCTTGGTTACTTCTGTCATTTCTGACCCATGTAACTGGAGATCTTCATCCTGATTGTCTACCATATCCAGAACTTGCCCAACCTTCATTTTCTCTTGCAGTATATTAATTAGATTAGGGCTACCCTCAGGCTGATTGTTTTCCAGGTTTTTCCTTCCACTCACTATTTCCAGCACAACTACGCCAAAGCTGTAAATATCAGCCTTCTCAGTGATTGTTGATGACAACCATTCCGGTGCTAGGTAACCCCTTGTTCCTCTGATTTTGGTCATCACATGGCTTTGATCCCTATCGATAAGCTTTGCTAAACCAAAGTCAGAGATCTTTGCGTTGAACTTGTCATCAAGGAGGATATTTCCCGGCTTAATATCAAGATGAGCAATCTTCTGGCGGCATTCTTCATGAAGATAGGCCAAACCCTTTGCAATGTCTAGGATAATCTTGTATCGAGTTGCCCAACTGAGTGAACCACTTTGGTTCTTTCTGAAGATCCACTTATCCAGAGACCCATTGCTCATATGCTCATAAACAAGGAGCCTGTGGAATTTGTCTGAGCAGTATCCTATCAATCTGACAAGATTAATATGATGGATGCTACCAATGGTAATGACTTCAGCCATGAATTCTTCCTTCCTGTGTCCAATGTCGTGCAAGCATTTGACAGCAATTTTGACATTTCCAAGTTTTCCCTCATACACTGGCCCAAATCCTCCCTGCCCCAGCTTTTTGCTGAAGTTATTGGTTGCTTCTGTCAGCTGTTTGTACGAAAACCGTGTAGGCATTCCAGCCACTCCTTTAAATGGATCATCCTCTTCCATCCTCTTCACTATTATTCTTCTGATCATGAGAATGAATAGGCAGATGACTACAACCAGAACAGGGACACCGACATGGTAAGCAGTTGTATTTGTTCTCTTACTTGATGGTGGTGGTAACATCTGCACCTTGACATATGCAGATAAATTGTAACCAAACACTTCTGGCTGATAATTCATGAGTGAGAAGATCTTTGGCATCAGATAGCAGGAGCCCTTAGAAACATTTTGATGCTGGAAAAATACTGCCTTGCACGAACAGGTCTTCAAGCATGCCTCCTTGCAGCTTTCTTCATCAGTAGTCCAATTGTTTGCAAAATTGAAGTACGTGACATTTGGGAGTGCCATAAGCTTATGATATTGGATCAGGTCACAGGACAGAGGAGTTTCTAATGAGCAGCCAAGGTTAGGTTGCCGGTCATCCAACTGACGGAAAAGGTCAATATCATTATTTCCACCTGGGCAACTGCATTGCCCTTGTAAACAGATTCCATATGCTCCACAGACTCTAGGGTATGCACATTCATCAGGATACACATGCAAAACATCAGCAAGAGCTTTCGATGAAACGCTATCCCATGCAGAAACTCTCAGGTGCCCATCATCCTTAAGACTCATAAATTGCACTGAAGATGGCAAAGGCAGAGAGATATCGAATAACTTGATATCTGTGCTGTTGAATCTAAGAAATGCTGAGAAGCTCCCTTGTAAGAAGGAAATGTAAGCCGTGCTATTCGTCACTTGATCAGAGGATATGTTTCTCTTTGATTGAGCTATTGCATCAGTTATATTAAAGCTTTTTCCGGTAATAAAACTGTGGAGGATCTTCATCGATGAAAGCATAGAGGCCATTGTCGAGCAGAGTGAGGTAGAATTGACCTTGAGTACTATTTGTCTCGGAGAAAGTGGAACTAAGCCTCTTCCCTTGCCACAATGACTGCCCAATGAGGATAGTGTCAGTTGGATGCGCAAACGATTCCCACACCGTCTTCCCCATCATGTTGAAGAGTATCAGATTCCCAGTCTCAGCAAGGTTCATGCCAGCAACCGAGCTGCCTGATGTAGTCGTGGACCAGACCAGTGAACCATCGAAGTCTCAGAACGAGATTTCCATCCTTGTTGAACTGCACTGGTGCATTCTCCTTCACTGGTCGGTACCTGTTGGCTGTCCAGACGATCCTTGGCATGGCCGAGGCATTGGAGGCAGGGTCGTTTGGATCTCCGATGGACATAAAGAAGACTGCAAAGAGGAAGACCTTGCAGGGCGCAGTGCAGATGAAGCCACAGCCGAAGGATGGACCAAACCCGGCAGGCTTCTGCCTGACAAGAATGACTCTGATCGTGGAACCGTCCTCATAGGTGTATTGTAAGGGATAGTAGTAGCTTCATTGTTGGTCCATATAGCAGGAAGGTTGGCGATGGGGCTAGGGTAATCAATGGACCAAGCTTGGGAGAAAGGAATGGACAACATGAAAAGGAGTAGCAAGCTTTCAACCCCAGGCATGGCTGATTTGTGAGTTCTTGGACTGGACATGGAAATGTCTGCAGATCATGTGATCTTTTGGTCTGGACAATGGAAAGTTCGAGAGGTGGCCTCGGAGATAGATGAGGGGAGGAGAGAGATGCAGTTTAGAGCTTGTCCTGGAGGGAAATTTTTGCAAAGACAAGTGTCCATGTATCAGATTAAACAATTAGACAAGGGGAGGAGTGGAGACTTAGTGGTATCCAAGTTCTAAAAAGCAAACATAAAGTACACTGGAAACAAAATTCCGATGGCTGTTGGCATCAGCATTCTGATGGCATAGTTCATGGCCAACACCCTTAAGTCCTTGTTTTGAATCCAGTTGCTGAAGTTTTGGTTGTCAATCGTGAAATAAACTTGCTATCAGGGAACCGAAGTGTCCTTTTAGATGAGCGTATGCTATGCAACCGAGGCATATCATTGTAGGATGCAGGTCCAGGAATCAAGCGAGCTTGGATTAGATAGTTTGGACTTATCCCGGTTATCGGAGGTTGTCATGCACAGCACTACCTCTCTATGAATATGAACTAAAAAAGTCATATAGAGCACTCATGCAAGTCCAACTTCCTCACCGACATAAATGGTTTGATCAACTGTGGACCCATGGTTTGTGTTGACATATTTTATGATCTAGTTTTTTTTTTGGGGTGACAAACTTGGTGAAGCATATTTGATTACTTGTGATGGCAAAAGGAAGTCTTAACGAGCTTTGGTCTGAAAGTTTATATTGCTGGTGTCATGACTAGCATCATGTGTTCAGTTTCCATGAGAACTTGAAGTGAAAAAAGAAACAACCTTCTCAGCTAAAATCTTTGTTCTTGCAGTTGCCTCTGAAAATGTGAATGTTTATGAAAATCGCGCCGTCAAGGAGGTTGTGGTGGATACACGAAGACCAAGACAGGAACACACCACGTCTTCTGGTATGGATGTAAGCGTAAAGATGTATGGTCAAATACTCTTCGACAAAACACCAGATTTTCAATGTGAAATGCATGTTTGGTTTCTGCCTTGATTCCCAGTATACTCTTTAAACATGCATCTTGCTAAAAAATATCACCCAGGTCCAGGAGCTAAAATCTGCTCCACGATAACCATGGACACATCTTTATTTCGGTTTCCCAGAGCTCTCAGCTTCAGCTTCAGTCACTGCTCAGGGAGATTCGAAGATGATGAAAGGTAGTCCTGGGGCCCACTTGTTAGTGACCTGAATCCACAGCAACCACAAAGGGGCTGTTCGCTGGACTGAAGAAACCCTCACGCGGCACTATTCATCCATTCAGCCAAACAGTGTTCCTCTCTCATACAACCAGTCAGTTTCAGCCAAGATTCTGCCAGCCGAACGGGGCCCATCAATCTTGGAGCAACTCTCTAATTTTCCTGATATGTATCCTGCAGTTCCATGATCAGGCTGCTCCAGCACATCCACATCAGCTTCAGAACTTGAGAACAATCAACTGGAAACCTCCGTCACGTGTCGACATGATCCAGGTGTGGACTAGTCTGGCAAAGTTCTAGACCTTGCCTCTGCCTGGTTGTGGTTGATCTCTGACGCATCGTTCATGAAACTCAGGCTGAGCTGCGGCGTAGAGAATGGACGACAGCCTTTTTCTCAGAACTTTATTATTAATCAGAAAGTTTGGAAGAGGGCACGGTTTCGTTTAGAAACAAAGTTGCCGGGAAGCAGTCCCAGTCCTAGATTTTAAGGGCCCTATGGATCTCATCGTAGTCTGGCAATCATATATAAAATTTTATACCTTTTTACCTTCTAACTGGTTTAATTTGATCTCTGATAATTATCGATAAACAATATAGATTAAATATATTTATAGATGTATGATAATTATCGATGAACAATGGCGTTAAAAAGTAATATATTCATTTTCTTTTCTCACCATGACAAATGTTTCTTATGTAACATTTTAAAATTTAACACCTTATTAGAAGAAAAATATGACTATATGTTTACAAAGTACTAAAAGTCCGGAATACTATATAAATAATTAATTTGTTAAAAATAAAAAGGAAAAAAAGTTGCCGTGCCTAAACAATCGATCGGGGCCCAGAAGCCAAGAATCAAGATATTTTTTTGCAAAAGCCCCGCACTCGGTCGCCGCCCTTTCCGTTGTTATTTCCGTAGTCTAGTTCTTCAGTGGCGTGGCCTGGCCAATCATAGTAAAAGCGCACGTCGCGAACTCACGATCATAGTGTGCTATGTGCAGCGTGATTTCGCCTCTAATCCGAGGGCCGTGGGAAAAGAAATTATGAAAGAAATGCCGATGTTGTTTTTTATTTATATATCTCTTCTTATTAGTTTGTTAATGCCTAATGAACTATAGAATCTGGAGATTTATATACCTAGGTTTGAACCCCTCCTCCGCTTGCCGTCGCACTGGTGGCCTACCCCTAGGGCCGGCACTGCCGGGAAGACCAGGACGAACGGCGAGGTGGTGTTACCAGAACGGCAAAACATGGGACAGTGTGCAAAGGTCTGTAGGAGTCTTGTGGGGCAAATGTAGGTCAAACAAGAGAATTGCTCAACACTTTTTCATGGACAAAGAAAAGAGTGGCTAATGATTCATACATCCTTGAATTCCGGAAAGGTTTTTAAAAATAGAATTATGGAAAGGTGCTCTGAAACTTTTAAATGGCTCCTAAAGGTTGGCATGCATCCAAAATGTTTTCATGAATTTTAAGTTTTCTTTTAAGAAAAAAAGGAGAATCTTTTGTTGAGACCTGAATCAAGTACTCAAAAGGAGACAGATGGTTCAGCCTAACTAGAGACCTGAACAATCAAGTATCATGATGATATCCAGTTGTTGGTTCATGCCTTCAGACAAGGTGTTTGGTCTCAGAACAAGTCTCCAGTATCATGATGATATCCAGTTGTTAAATATGAAATGAAAAAATAACAATTGCATCAGATTAGAAAGCTAATTTACGAGATCCTAATGGGTGTGATTTGACAAGGTTGTGCTATCTCCAACTAATGGCGGATTAATTAGAACACAAATTCCACACGGTTTCCATCTATGTAATTAGTTTTATAATTAACTCACTCATTTAGTTCTCACAGCCGCGTCCGAGAATGGAAAACTTAGTCAAGGAAACCAAACACCATCCAAAATGGGTGTAGGCAAATCTCCAACTGGGAACAATATTCAATTTCATGACGAACACTCACAGCTCACAGCTGCAGAATGGAAGACTGTCGGCCATGTAAACTAAGCAGCCTTGAAACCAATCATGATGTGTGAACGCCAAGGGTTGCCATTAGATCAGATGGCCACCTTATTCTGCTTACCTGCAGCAATTCTTGCTGGAGGCGCCTCGTTTTTGTAGGTCCCGGCAAGCACTCTTCATTGAAACTTTTATGTGAAACCCCAGATCCACATCATTACGAATTGTAACCTTTGTTCTATGATACTCAGCTCCTCCAAAGAATCTTTTGTTTTTAAGCTGAGGTCCTTTTCTTAGTGCAGCATAGATTGGCTTGCACATGTACAATCTTCCTGGGGATTCAGATTCTGGTCAGAGCTCAATTTTTTGCAAAAAGGTTGTCTTCAGTCGAAAAATATCTTCAAGAATCAAAGCGCTCTGCCTTTTTCGGGATGTTCTTCAGATTGGCATCTATTCCCTCTCCTATGCAACAAGCGGCACCGGTTCTCTTTGGTCGATCAAAAGCAAGACATGCATATGTTGAAGATGCATTTGTGATAATTCATCCTCTGTTCTATTACAAGTTCATTGGTGAAATGATATATCATCTCTTTCCAATGTTGCCTCAAAAGTAAACTACTCCCTCAGTCCCAATTTGCAATTTTTTTGTTTTTCTAGGTACATAGCTTATGCACGTACCTAAATATAAGTGATGTGTAGAGACACAGTAAAAACTATATATCTAGAAAGCCAAAACGACTTACGATTTGGAATGGAGCGAGTACTAAATTATGAGAACAGTTTACAGCAAGTTGCATACATATTCGGTGTTTTTGAAACTGAACAAAAAATAAATAATTTCCAAGCTTGCCAAGTTAACATCAAGCTGGAATTCTGCCTGTAAACCTATATCTGCACAGTTATTCACAATCACATACACCCAAGCACATCTGATATATTTGATTCTTTGGATTAAATTTGTATACCTTCATTTGAGGATGCAATGAAAGAATTTCAGGGACAAAACTCACCAAATGTGACAATTATGTGGGCTCTGGAATGGATTTTTTTTCCACCTAGGGCACAGGCACTGAAATTGACACAGGGTTTGACAACTCCCCGCTGCCAAAGCTTGCAGCGCGCCTCAATGTGCTGTTCCCTACCAATGAATGATCAACCACTGTCAATGTACTTCCTAGTGCCAATGCCGATGGCATTTGGCTTCTCTGGCACATCTTGACAATCAAGCTTGCCTTCTTCTTGGCACGCTTTGTTCCTGTGAGCGTGATGTTCTGTATTACTGTGTTCAACCCAGGTATCCTTGCCACGCGCTGTACCAATGTTGATCCACCTCTTCGGCATATCTCATATAAAGCTGACACTGCATTCTCCTTGCCCTTTGGAGTTCCACGCCTCATTAACCCAACAAGGCTAGTGATCACCGTTTCAGAGCTCCCAACAAGATGCACGATGGTAGCCTGCTTCATCAGCAGAGCCAGAGCACCAGCAGCTTCCTCCGACACGGTGTCATTCCTCAGTGACTCAATCAAAGCTACAACTGCAGAAGACTCAAGCATCCGACCTGAGCTTTCTGGATGTGTTGAGAGGTTGAACAATGCCATCACTGCGTCTTTCTTTCCCCTTGGCGTCCCTTTGGTCAGCATAGAGGCAAGCTCCTCCACAGCCCCTGGCTCATTCATGATCTTTTTCTTGTAGTCATGGACCACAGATAAACTGAAGAGCGTAGCTGCAGCATTCTCCTTGGCCTCTGTCGTCCAACCATTCTTCAACACACTGACAATAAGATGCAGGCAATCCTCTTGTTCCATAATCCTTGTCTTGTTCGGCTCATAGATCGATAGATTGAGCAGTGCAGTCACTGCATTCTCCTGCGCCATCCAATCCGACGACAGCAGCAACCTGCATAGCAATGGTATCGCACCCAACTCGGCAATGAACGCCCGGTTTTGCTTCCCAGTCTTAGCCAGCAACCGGATTTCCCTAGCTGCAACCGGCTTTGCGTTATCGGATCCCTCCATCAGTGTCTTGACCAAAATCCTTGCTGTGGCTTTGTTCGCCTCAATTGCTGCCTTGCTGCTGCACGATGCAGCAACACATTCAATCATCCCCTCGTTGCTCTCCGGCGAATCAAACTGAAAGCCATGCACCCCGCACCACTGTGAAATCAAGCTGCGGAGCGCCTGGTTTGGCACAAGCCGGTTGTCAGAGAGGGCCTGGCCGGAGTTGGGGCAGGTGGAATGCCCCTCCTCGATCCACTGTATGATCGACGGCCGGTCATATGTCTGTCCGGTGGAGACCACCACGGGATCGCGCATCAAATCCAAAGAAATCGGGCAGGAGAACTCCTTGGGCACCGAGAAGGAGCTGTCGTCGCTGCAGCTCCAGGAGAGCAGCCGCTGCCTGTTCCCCGCCGACAGCCAAACACGCAACGCCTTTGTGTTGCTGGGGTCGAAAAGGGAGAAGAGGCAGTACCGGAGCAAGGCGACGACGCCGCCGATGAGGGGGAGGTCGGCGTCGTCCTCTTGGCTCAGGATTTGCTCCTCCAGGTACTCGATTTCAGAGCGGCAGGAAGGGGCGTCGGAGATGCCGATTTGGAGGAGGAGGGATCGGAGAGTGGAGGGGTCCGGCGGCTGGCCGAGCTCGAAGTCGCGCAGGGCGGCGAGGAGGCGGTCTCCGAGAGCGGCCTCCGAGGGGTCGTGGTAGTTGGCCGGCGCCCGCCGCCGGCAGCGCGCGCGGAGGAGGTCGAGGTACTGGGCGGCGTCCCACGAGAGGCGGAGCGAGGCGGCGGGGAGGACGTCGAGGACGACGGCGAGCTCGGCGTCGAGGTCCCGGAACGAGGCGGCGAGCTGGGGCGCCCGTAGCAGCGCCCACGCTCGGCCGGCGGAGGCGACATAGGAGACGAGCAGGTCGGCGCGGAAGAGCACGACGTAGAGCTCGCGGAAGCAGAGGTTGGCGGCGTCGGAGAAGGCGTCCTCCCCCTCGTCGGCGAGGAGGAGCAGGAGCGAGTCGAGGAGCGCGGAGAGCAGCGCGAGCCTCCGCATGAGCGCGTCGAGGTTCCGTCGCTGCGACGGCGGGGGCGGGGTCCCCAGCAGGTCCGCCGCGAGCGACGCCAGCGCGCGGAGCAGCGGCGCGCCGGACAGCCCCGTGGGCGCGAAGAACGCGCCGGCCAGAGGCGGTCTCCTCCGCTGGCGCGGTTGCGGGCGGCGGAGCAGGAACTCGACCGGCGACGAGGCCGGCGCGGCGGCCATGGCGAAGAGGACCGGACCGGAGGAGCGCACTGGGAGGAGCGAAATCCCTACCCCCCGTTCCTTTGACTGACCCCTCCCCCGCCTGAGGAGACGAGGCGGATAGGCGATCGATTGGGTGGGGGCTCGTTAGGTTAGGTGGGAGACGGGCGGCGACGGCGCGGAAATGGTCGCGCTCGCGCAGGCGTATCCACTGCCCGCGTCACATGGGAAGAAACGGCGGCCGGAAAGAGGCGGAGGCGGCCGGGGAGAGAGAAGAGGAGGAAGAGAGAGAAGAAGAAGCGGGGGGGGGGGGAGAGGACGCCCGACCACGGCTTTCGTCTTCTAGAGAGGTGAGCGGTGGGGCCCATGGCGCCAGCTGCTGACATGTCAACCTTCCTCTCGCTTCGGTTTTCATTGGGATCCACGGTTTTTTGTGTGTTTTTTAATTTTCCTTCGGTTTCCCCTCCTTCCCTTCTTTATTATTGCTATTTTTTCCAATATTTTCTATTTATTTATATCATGATTTTTTTCTGACCTGCTTTTTACTTTCTTCTATATATAAATTACCTTTTATTCATTCTGTTTTTTAATTTTCAAACTGCTCTCACACCCTATGTATATTGTATATGATCCGGATTTATAACTTACTGTACTCGTAGCAACAATGATAGGGAGTCTGATTGCAATACATCTTGGTTCTGTGTCCAACACATGGATATATTTACATTGAAAAATCATATTATCAAATCATGGACTAATTATTTTGCCTCATTTTCACAATCCTTTTAGTTATTTTTTAGTCTATATTTAATACTTCACGATACGTCCAAACATCCATGGGATGAAAAATTCAATCTAAGAAACCAAACAGGCCCTTACTGTACTCGTAGCAACAATTTCCAAAACCGCAATACATTTGGTTCTGTGTGTAACACATTTATTTATATTAGAAAAAGTTTGATAAATTCTAATTAATTAATTATGATATAAAATAGATTTTTCAATTAATCTAAAGCTTTTTGACAACAAAATAAATTCTAATTAATTACGTAAAATAGATTTTCCAATTAATCTAGAAAGTTCAGGGTAAAAAAATAGACGGTTTCAAAATAGTTGATGGTTGAAGTAGAGTGAAAAGTATGAAAAATAGACCAAGTATGAAAGATGGGGGTTAAGTAGACTTTTTCCTATTTATATTTAATATTAAAGAGCAAAGTATAGTACAGTCTCATGTGATCTTTGCCCCGTCTACTACTATGGCATACGGAGTAGATTAAAATATCAAGATGAAAAATTATCTAGAATCCGGACAAGTGTATTGTGTCTTTTATTTGTGGGTGGGAATTGTTTCTATAGAACTCAGAGATATTGTTTGCCATCACACGGGATTTGTGAGGATGGCATTATCTTTACTACGCTCTTTCTTTGAGATGACAATTTTTTTCCTGCACCTGTTTTTTCCAGTATTAGAAAAGAAAATGTGACGACTGACAAGTGAAATCGAAAGTGACAGCTGAGCTTCGTTTCTCCGCGCAACAATATATGTTGACGATGCAGTTTGTGCTTTACCGAGATCACAATCAAGATATTAAATGGCGTATAGCAGATTCGTAGCGGAATACGTTAAGGTAGCGGATTGCGCATGCTATCATGGACACTAAGTGTCGGATATCAATATTAGGAATATCTAAAGAGGAGATCTGAGAACCACGGACAACGACTCGCCTAGATAATCATGGATGTGTTTCAGTCTCGACCGACCCCGAAGGGACGGTCTTCGTCTCGCCCGACCCTGAGGGCATGGGCCCCGTGTCACCCGACCCCTTGGGCACGGGCTACGTCTCGTCCGACCCCTTGGGCACAGGGCTCTTGTCGTCCGACCCCAAGGGGTCGGAAGCCGTCTCGCCCGACACTAAGGGCACGGGCTCCATCTCGTCCGACCCCTGAGGTGCGGGCCTGTCTCTCACCCGACAGGGACCCATACCACCTCCAACCACTACCGGTCAGAAGATACGACCCTAGGGTCAAACTTCTGACACCGACCAAGAAAGCAGGCATGTCTCGACATGACCTATGGCCATGTCAGGCCACGCCCGGGGGTCCACATCGCCAACAATGCGCGGGTGCGTGGTCACTGTGCTGTCTACTTCTCGTACGGCCGCTGTCCAGCACGTCGGTTCGCCACGCCGTCCGCCGGGGTGGGATGGGACGCCATGACTAGCTGATGACGCCGGGGCATGGCACCAGTGGTGAACAGGAACCCCGCGTGGAGCCGTCCCCATCACCATCTACAGCGTCGGCGGAACCCACATGAAGGAGAAGAAGGACCCGGCGGCCATGGAGGCCTTCTTCTCCCTCACTTTTCTCCTTTCTCTCTGTAACCGGTGCCTTCCCCTTCACCTATAAAAGGGAAAAGCAGGACGTCCCACGGGGGAGAGAGGAACGAACACACAGCTGAACGAGCTCAGCAAGGCCCAACTCCATTCAATCTTTTCACCAGAGACTTAGGAACTTCTCCCTCTCTCGCTCGTTTGTAGCCCCTACTACAAACTAGTGCCGGTAACACGAGCAGCAACGCACTGGACGTAGGGGCATTCCGCCCGAACCAGTATAAATCCTTATGTCCTCCGAGCACACCATCCGAGCCAGACGCGCAGATACAAATTTACCCGTCGGTGGTTCGAAACACCGACACTAAATTTCAATAGTGATATCCAATAACCACATATAAATTTACGTATATATATCATAAATAATAAAATATAAATAGACATTAATATATTTATTAGAGAACTGATGTCTCGTATACTTGAAATGAAAAATTGAAATATGGTATTCCACATATTAGATATAGATCATCATATATAGGGTTTAGAAAGAAATAGATTACGAGAGCTATAAAATATTCATAAGACCATAATTGGTTAATATTGTCAGAAGCAGTAACCTCATCGCTACCATGCTATTGCAGTTGCTACGACGAATTGTGGTTGCGATAGCGGCCGCTAAATTTCAACACGTAAATCTAGTCCGCTACTCCGTATGTCATAATAATAACAGTGCTACTGTACTAATGTTTTCTTAAATGGTAAACGGTCTTTACATGGTCACATTTCGTTTAGCGTTTAGGCTGTTTATACGGTGTTTAAACGAAGTTAAATGGTCTAAACGGTTTTGTACTTTAAAAAAAATACATATAATTATATATGTGCATGTAAAAAATCAAGTATTCTAGTCTTTATACATATTTATCCGAGTAAAAATCAATTATTTTGTTATGTATATATATATTTATGTATGTGAAAAGAACCAAATATAGATATTTATGCATGTAACATATCAAGTGTACATATTTATAAATATAATAAACTTAAGTATATAAATTTATCCATACAAAACTGAATTAGATTTACCTCGGGTTCGTCTAAACGGCCGTTTAAATAGCTGTTTAGCCCGTTTAATGTTGTTTATCTCCGTTCCATTTAGACCATTTTTTCCCTTTTTTTACCGTTTAAACGGTTAACCGTTTAATTTAAAACAGTTTACCACCATTTACCATTTACTAGCCTTTTAAACAGCTGTTTAATCTGTTTAGACGAAACACTGATAATACAATATTTTTTCTACCAACAAATCAGCACAGACGACTTTTAAAACAGCCGAACACAGCCTACGACAAGAGATCATATACACTACCTAGGGGAGGCACTTGAACAGGGGCAAAGCGGTAAAAAAAACGCGTGTTCCTTTCGAAAACCAGGCGTACGAGCCTAGGGTCCGGTCGGCGTACGCATAGGCATTCAAAAGGCTTAGGGATGCGTGCGTTGGTTCGGGACTCGCGAACGCATGGCGAGGGGCAGGCAGGTACGAAGAAAGTCAACGGGTGCAGTCTGCCTGGCACGCAGAGAGAAAAAGAAGAGGATGGGCAGTGGGCCCATAGCCCATAAGGCAGGCGGTGGCAGGCAGGCACGTCCCCACTCCCCACGTCGCCCACCTCACCACCGTATGTCATGTCGTCGTCTGTACTACTGTACGTACTAGGAGTGGTAGTCTGTGGTCTGTGCTGCTGACACCGGGGGCCGGCTGGCTCTGCATCATCCGTCACCTCCCTCCGTGTCGTCACCTTCAGCCGCTGCTACTGCCAATCTGCAAGTATCGGGGGAGGGCGTATCGTTTCGTGGATTATTTACTGCTGGCTGGTTTGGTGTGAGAGAAAAACGTTGTTCCTAGCTGGAAATTTACGATCGTTTACGAGCCAGCGAACAGGCTTCTTGTTTCGGCTGGGGATCTTCGGTGCAGCGGCCACCAAGAACAAACGGTCCAAAAGGATTTGTCGGCGAGCGCACTGCTTTTCTGGACACGTCGAAATGCACTACAGCACTACTGACTCCTTTTTATTTTCAGACAAAGAAATAATTACACCATATTTTTTTATGTTATTTATATAACAACATATTGTACTCCAGTTCGCTTCGCTGAAATTTAGATTATGTTAATACTTATGCTATTTTGTTTAAAAAAAAACATTGTTCGTTCGCTGAAAAGCACCGATAAAGTCTTAAGTGACCCGTATGATTACCTCTTCAAATGGGGGTTCCTTTTTCAAGGAAGGGGAGAGGTACTAGTACTACATCCGGATCCGGTTGCTGCAATCTGAGGAAATGATTTTGAATGGACCAGACCAAAGCAGATAACACGCGGCACGGCAGAACGCACCAGATTCGTCCCATCCAAATCGCACTGTGCAGTTCCAGCTGATGGCTCCCTTCCCTGGTGCCTCTCCCATAGCCATGGCCAAGGGTGGCCCGCCCGGTATTGCAAAAGGTAATCAAGGGTCCGAAGCACTCAACTCAACAAAATGATTTGTCATTCCAGGCCTTGCATGTTGCGCTGCTGGGATTTGTGATTTGTCTGCTGGCTGTGCGTTATCTTTATCAATCAAGCTGATGCAGAAGCAGAAGATTCGGCCCCGTTCGGCTCGCTGAATTTTGGCTGAAATTAGCTGAAAAACACTGTTCTGA